GCCCCTCCCCAGAGCACTGGGTGTGAAGCTGCCCCTCCCCAGAGCACTGGGTGTGAAGCTGCCCCTCCCCAGAGCACTGGGTGTGAAGCTGCCCCGGGGCCACATCTTCAAGTGCAGTTCCGCAGCATGCAGCATGTAGCATGTGGGACTGGGTTTGTGTTTGTGGCCTCGGAGGCTGGTCTCTCTGTCATTCTCATGCCGCTTTCTGTGTTCAGACAGGCAGGGCTCTCTCACCTGCTGGCTCAGCTGCCCTGTGATGTTGATTTTCAATTCCTGGCTCTCAGCCATTGGCCAGACATGTAGCCCTGCTCAGCTGAGGACAGACACGTAGGGTGGTCTGAATTGTTAGCTCTCCCACCCCCCCACCCCTCTCTCATGCCTGTTTGGCCTCAGCCTGGGATGCAGGGGCCCTCGCTGAGTCCGGCCCCTCCCTGCGCAGTTCCTGTGCACGGTGGTCGCCATCCTCCTCCACTACATCTACATGAGCACCTTTGCCTGGACCCTCGTGGAGAGCCTGCATGTCTACCGCATGCTGACTGAGGCACGCAACATCGACACGGGGCCCATGCGGTTCTACTACGTCGTGGGCTGGGGCATCCCGGCCATTGTCACAGGTGAGGATGCACAGAGTGGCCCCGCGTAAAAACACAGATTTCCAAAAGACCCAGCTGTGCAGGAGAGCTGTCCTCCTTTCTCTTCCCTGCCCAGCCCCAATGCTTGTCCAGCCCCCAGCAGAGGAGGCCCCGGCCCTGCATACTTGTCTGCACGCACAGGGGCAATTGCAGACACCTGGGGCAATGTCTTCTGTAAGGTGTGAGCTCCTTGAGAGCTGGGTCCAGGTCTGTTCAGGGTTATTTCTGCAGCACCTAACAGACAAAAGTTCCACGTCTATGCATGGGAGGGATGGAGGGAAGAGCAAGTGAGTGCCTAAGTGGGCAGGTGGATGGATGGGGGGGTGAGTGAGAGGATGAATGGATTGGTGGGGGGTGAGTAGATGGATGGATGGATGGGGGGTAAGTGAGTGGCTGGATGGATTAGGGGTGAGTGAGTGGGTGAATGGATGGAGAAGTGAGTGGGTGGATGGATGGATGGATGGGGGGGTAAGTGAGTGGCTGGATGGATTGGGGAGTGAATGGATGGGGGGGTGAGTGAGTGGATGGATGGATGGGTGAGTGGATAGATGGGTGATGGGGTGAGTGGATGGATGGGTGGATGGAGGGGGTGAGTGGATGGATGGATGGGGTGAGAGGATGGATGGATGGGTGGAGGGGTGAGTAGATGGATGGGTGGGGGTTGAGTGAGTTGGGTAGATGATGGATGGGTAGGGGTGAGTGGGTGGGTGGAGGAATGAGTGAGCAGATAGGTGGGTGGGTGGGTGGATGGATTGCATAAGTGAGTGAATGAATAGGTGGATGGATGGAGGGATGGAGAGATGAGTGAGTGGATGGATGGGTGGATGGATGGATGGATGGATGGATGGATGGGATAAGTGAGTGGATGAATAGGATGGATGGAGGGATGGAGAGATGAGTGGGTGGATGGAGGGATGGATGAAATGAGTGGGTGGATGGAGGGATGGATGAAATGGGTGGGTGGATGGATGGGTAGCTAATGGATGACAATGAAATTAAGTGGCTGGGTGGGTGCAATGCGTGGATGTGATGAGTGAGTGGATGAATGAATAAATAGTGAATCAGTGAGTAGAACAAACAGTACTTCCTCAGCACACGTTTTGCTAAAAATCAAAGTCAGTTTGCTCCCTACTGAGAAAGATCCACCTTTATTCACAAGAAGAAGAACCCCTTTTCCTGGGTAATCCCTGGGTTCTGGGGATTAGACGCAGTCTGAGGCCAGAGTCACGGGGGTGGGGGGAGTTGCCCCCAGGGCAGCACCCAGCAGCCACCCTGGGGCCAGTGCCATGGTCACTTGCTGGACTGTCCTGGTCTCCACAGCGAGAAGAACCTTTTCACCTCCCCCCAGGGCCGCTGAGGTGGAGGCAGGTTGGGTGAGGTAGCAGCTGCCACTTCCTGACGTGACAGGCCATACCTTGCCTAGATTAGGTGCTTACTGTGAGAGACGCTGAGATGAAGAATGTGGCCTAGAAAGGGGCTCGTATGGCTTTGTGTAAAAGCTGCCTCGATGCCCAGGCAGAGCAGGTCTCTGCGATGCCTCTGCCCTTTGGATTCTAAGTCCAGATAGCTCACGTTTCCTACTTGCTTTAAAAACGGGTTTTGGTTTGGTTTGTGGTGTTTAACACTTAGGTTTGTCTCGCACAAGATCTTAACTCCCGGGGAGCCTCAGACTGAGCTGCAGACGCTGGTCAGTGGCCGCTGCCTCGCCCGGCCATCTGGGGCTTCCCTGACTGTCCTGGGTGGTCCTGGTTAACTGGCTCCTCCAAAGGACAGTGGGAAGTCCTGGAGGGTGTTAAGCAGCAGGGAGCCGGGATCTTTTAAATATTTAAGGAGAATGGGGAGGAGCATAGCCTAGGCCAAGGTGGGGTGAGGGACATAGAAAGACCAGGTCACACCTGGTTGCTCCTGTCCCAAGTGTCACCTTGATGCTCTGCATGGACAGGCGGATCTGGCTTGTCACACGATGGTTAGGAGTGGCGACTGCTTCAGAGTGTTTCTTCCCCTATTTAAACAGGCAGCTCACATAGCAAGCCCAGTGCTGAGGCAGTTTCGGGGGTGTGTGTGGTGTACACATGTGTATGGTATGTATATCTGTGATGCGTGTCTGCACACGTGTGTGCATGCATGTGTATAGGGTATGTACGTGTGTATGGCATGTGCACATGGTTGGATGTGGTATGGGGGTGTATGCGTCCCCCACCCGCTCACATATGGCCCCCATACATGATGTCGTCCTCCATCTGTTTTGGGGCCTCATCCCTTGCACCTTGGGTCCATCACAGCCTTCTGACCTCTACATGGCCCAGCTGGCAGGGCCCTCCCAAGCACCGTCTGCCTTCATGATCCCTCCTGCACCATCTCATTGCCACCCTCCAGGGTCTCTGGTCTTCCTCAGCAGCCCCCGGCCCAGATAGGCCTCTGCCACCTAGGCCGGTGAGCCTGAGACCCCACACGGAGAGACTGTGCTCAGAGGGTCCCTGGGCTGGCTCCCCAAACTCCTTGCTCTTTCCTCTAAGAAGAGACATGCTGAGTCTCCCATTTCACCCCACCCTGGCTGGTCCTTGGCATGGGGTGGCCACTGGGCACGCGGCCCTCACCCTTCCCTTCCTCCCCGCTGTGTTCAGGACTGGCGGTCGGCCTGGACCCCCAGGGCTACGGAAACCCGGACTTCTGCTGGCTGTCCCTGCAAGACACGCTGATTTGGAGCTTTGCGGGGCCCATCGGAGCCGTTATAATTGTGAGTGTGGGGCCTTCACGGGAGTCCGGGTGCTCCGAGCATGCGTCAGCTAGAAGGACTGCTCTGGGCTGGCTGGGGCCACGAACTCCTCTGAGCAGCCGAAGCGGGGCAGGAAGGGCCATCTTGTGACAGCAAAGCCACCAGGCCCCTCCCCAACCTCGCCCTCTGATCGTGGGTTCGGGTCTCGCGTCGTGTCCACACGAGACCGTCTGCGTCCAGCACCCAGGAGGGTCCTGCACAGGCAGGCTGGGTGTGGTGGGCCCTGTGGGGCAGTGGGTGGACAGCTGTGCTTGGTCCCACAGGCCAGGGCTCGGGTCCTCCTCACCCAGACACCCCTTCCTGAGATGCAGGGCAAAGGGCTTCAGGTGCTTTTGGCAGTTGAAGGTCTGCAGTGACAAGACTGAAGAGTCTGCCACCTGACATCGATCGGCTTGTTTTGTTTTCAGATCAACACAGTCACTTCTGTCCTATCTGCAAAGGTTACCTGCCAAAGAAAACACCATTATTATGGGAAAAAAGGGATCGTGTAAGTGGGGCAGAACCTGACCGGCCAGCCATGTCAGCTGGGCCCTGAGACCCCGACGTCCAGTCTCTGTGGGGTGGGGCCCCACGAGGGCATGTGGGCCTCATGGAGGAGGGCTGGGGGCAGCTGGGTGAGCACCAGGGCTCGAGAGAGGTTTCCCACGTTGCATCTGCAGGGGCTGGGGGAGGTTAGCTGAGGGGAGGGGGGATTGGGGGAGGTTAGCTGAGGGGAATTGGGGGAGGTTAGCTGAGGGGAGGGGAGTTGGGGGAGGTTAGCTGAGGGGAGGGAGCTGGCAGCCAACCCTGGGCCTCAGTCCTTCCTGCCTGGCACGGAAGCATTGGGCTGCCTGGAATCACCAGGGTGGAGATGGGTGGGGTGGGGGAGATGGAACTTTCTGATGGGTGATGAGGGTGTTGCTGGGGCCACTGGAGTGGAGGCCCCCCCCGAGCCCCACCATCAGAGGGTGCAGCGGAACAGGGGCCCAGCACAGAGGGAACCTCCAGTGTTCTAGGGAGGAGAGGGAACCTACGAGGCCCCCAAAGGAGCAGGTGGCACTGTGGGAGGACTCAGCACAGCGTTCAGGAGCCATGACAGGGTCAGGAGGGGATGACAGGGGCATCTGTCAGACAACCAGGTGGCCCCTGGTGACCTGGCATCTGCTGGTGACCTGACAGATGGGACTGAGCCAGGGATGGGCGAAGGGAGAATGCTTGCACGGGGGCTGGGTTGCCAGGAGGAGTGTGAGGCTCCCGGCCCACGAGGGTGGAGAGGGAGGGGCGGTGAGTGGCCTGGAAGGCCAGATGTGGGGATTACACGGGGGGTCTGGGGCCTTGTCAGTTCCTTATCTTTAGTGCCATCCCTGACCTGTGGACCTGCGGGCTCTGTCACCCTGATTCACTCCATCCCCTCTGAACCCTGGGAGGGGATGCGCCTTTGCCTTCCCCTTTTACAGATGGGGAGACTGAGGCAGAGCTCAGGAAGCTGCTTGCAGGGTCACAGCTCGTCAAGGGCAGGCCCTGGGCTCTTCCTCTCGCCTCTCCACAGGTGTCTCACAGGAGCTAGTGCAGCCATGGGCGTGGCTCAGGCCCCCTGGCCTGGTGTAGTCGTCACGGCTCCTGTTTTGTCATTTATTTGCTTCCTAATTTGTTCCACCACCATCCCCACTAACACAAGCTCTGTCTGGTTCCCAGATGAGTCTGTTCCTGGCTACGGGGGAGGAAGGCAGCAAGGTGGATGACGGCTGGGTGGACAGGCGGACGGACAGATGGGCGGATGCGCAGAGAGGGAGGGAGGAAGGGAGCAGGTGGTGGCGGTGGGCACAGGCCTGATCCTGCTCTCCCGCAGCTTCCTGCTGAGGACCGCCTTCCTCCTGCTGCTGCTCATCAGCGCCACCTGGCTGCTGGGGCTGCTGGCTGTGAACCGCGATGCACTGAGCTTCCACTACCTCTTTGCCATCTTCAGTGGCTTACAGGTAGGTGGCGGCTGAGTTGCCTGTGGGGGCCCCTGCCTGGCCGCCGTGGCACCGTTGCTGTGATGCAAGGCAGTGGAGGCCTGCGGTCTCAAACCAGCCCTGCCTGGGCCTCGCGTGGGATCCTCCTGTGGCTGCAAGGACTCAGCCCCTTTTGCAACCAGCACAGGGCCTGGTGCCTCCTCCCCACTGTGTTTGGGGACGATGACCCCAGTGCCAGGCCAGCACAAGTCCACTTGTGTCTCCAAGGATCAGAAGTGGCCATTTCTGGTCATACTAAGGGCTGGCCAGCAAGTGGACTTACGACACAGCGGGGACACCAGAGGGCCCCGAGGGCTGTGAAAGGAGTGCCCAGAAGACTGGTCTGAGCTGGGGCCTTCAATGCCTCCAGCACACCGGGGGTCCAGCCCAGGCATCTCAGTTTCTGAGCTCCCCAACCTGCCCCCGAGAAAGCAGCAGCCCCTGAGGAGGGGAGGCCTGGCTGTGTCCTGGGCCCCGCGGCCTGGCGGTGTGCACTCGAGGCTGTGTGCGCATCTGTGCTGGGGCGCCTAAGGGCAGGTGCCTAGGGAGGCAGCAGCAGGTGCTGACCCCGCCTTCCTCCCTCCAGGGCCCCTTCGTCCTCCTCTTCCACTGCGTGCTTAACCAGGAGGTCCGGAAGCACCTGAAGGGTGTGCTCGGCGGGAGGAAGCTACACCTGGAGGACTCTACCACCACCAGGGCCACCCTGCTGACGGTAAGAGGCACCTTGGGACTGGAAGCTGGGCGGCATCTTGAGTGGTGAGGGAGGAGTATCACGCGTCAGCCCCAGCCCCGCAGCCTGTGTGCCCCTCATGGTGGGGATAGCAGAGCCGCCCACGGAGCACGGTATTGCTGCCAGCATCAGAACCAGAGAGTGATAGAATCGGCCAGATGGGGCCTCGGTCGCGTCCTAGCCCTGCTTTTCCAGGCCTTAGAAAGAGGGGGCCAGGACCACCGAGGACCCTGACCAGAAGCAGTGGCTATAGGGAGGGCAGCAACCCTGACCACAGTGTGGGCCAGGATGCGCTTCCTTCAGCTGCCAGGAGGCTCTTGTTTGCAGTGAGGGTTGACTGGGGCCGGCTCCTCCTGTGTGCTGAGGAGGGGCCCAGCCAGGGTGTGGGTGTGGGGGGTTTGCCGTGGGGACAGAGTCATCCCCCGTGGTGGTCATGTGGTGGCCTCCACCTGGCAGTGACCAGCCCTTCGCCTCCCCCCAGCGCTCCCTCAACTGCAACACCACCTTCGGCGATGGGCCCGACATGCTGCGCACGGACCTGGGCGAGTCCACCGCCTCGCTGGATAGCACTGTCAGGTCAGGCTGCAGCTCCAGGTTCGGGGAGGTAGCTCTCGAGCTCCCTCAGGCTTTGGCGCCACCCCCATCTATGTCCTGCCATTCAACCAACATCACATTTCCCCCGCCGACCTTCTCCCCCCGCCGACCTTCTCCCCCCGCCGACCTTCTCCCCCCGCCGACCTTCTCCCCCCGCCGACCTTCTCCCCCGCCAACCTTCTCCCCCCCAACCTTTCCCCTACCACCTTCCCCCACACACTGGGAGCCTCTTTTGTCTGTGCTCTTGATGGTAACACAGAAGGGTGGGGGCAGAGAATCTTCCGGAGAACTTTCCAGCACTTCCTGTCCCCTGAGGGATGATACTGAGCCCCACCTTTCCCCGGCCTCTCTAGGGATGAAGGAGTCCAGAAGCTCAGCGTGTCCTCTGGGCTGGTGCGGGGCAGCCACGGAGAGCCAGACGCATCCTTCGTGCCCAGGAGCTCCAAGGACCCCCCCGGTATGGCTTCCCCGGAGGGGGAGGATCCCCGGGGTTGTTTTTCCCACGTCCCTTTGGTCACTGGAGATTCCGCCCCTGAAGAAGCACTAGCAGCCTCGCCATGCGCAGTGTCAGCATGCCAGGGGCCCAGTGGCTCTGCCTGGCCTCGGCGGGACCCCTGCACCTCCCAGGGCCTGAGCCTCCCTGTTCCCCGCTCATCCACAGGCCATGATTCCGACTCAGATAGCGAGCTGTCCCTGGATGAGCAGAGCAGCTCTTATGCCTCCTCACACTCATCAGACAGCGAGGACGACGGGGTGGGGGCTGAGGAAAAATGGGACCCGGCCAGGGGCGCCATCCATAGCACCCCCAAAGGTGAGCGTGTGGGGCACATTGGGCCAGGCTGGGCTGTGGACAGCAGGCTCGGGGCAGGTCTTGGCCATGGCTGGGTCCCTTCCTCCCAAGATATGCCCAGCAGCACTGCAGCCACATGAAAGGACAGCCTGGGGTGGGGGGGGGGACTCTGGCTGGGTTCCCCCACAGCCTCTGCTCCTCCATGCCAATCCCTGGAGCAGAGGCAGGAAATCTCGGGGGTTCTCTGTGGACCGTCACCGCAAGGTCCAGGTGAGGCTGCCGGGGGTGGATAGCCATGTGTGGTTACTGGTACAGATGCAGCGGGGGATCCCAGCAAGGGCCCTGCTGCCAGGACTCTCCCTCCTGGGCCTCAGTTTCCCCACCTTTAGGGTTCAGCCCTACCAGGCCTACAGGTTGTGGAGAGGTGGGTCAGAGCCACCCGGGACCTGCCAGAGCCATGGCTCTCAGGGGCGCAGCTCGAGTGGCAGTGCTGCTGTCTGCTGAGCACCGCTCTCATGCCTCAGGGGATGCTGTGGCCAACCACGTTCCGGCCACCTGGCCTGACCAGAGCCTGGCTGAGAGTGACAGTGAGGACCCAGGCGACCAGCCCCGCCTGAAGGTGGAGACCAAGGTCAGCGTGGAGCTGCACCGCGAGGAGCAGGGCAGTCACCGTGGAGAGAATCCCCCAGACCGGGAGAGCGGGGGCATGGCCAGGCCTGCTAGCTGCCAGCCTCCAGAGCAGAGGAAAGGTGCCTGGGGAAGCCGGGGCTGCAGTGAAAGGCTGGAGGACCCAGAAGGGCCAGTCCCTGGTCCAGAGGTGGGGGTGGGGCTGGTGGGGCAGGTCAGGGCCTGGGCAGAACAGACGTGGCCTTCCAGCCTAGCCCTGGGACCTGGGGAACCAGGAGGAAGGACAGGGGCTGAGGCTGGCTCCGATGCACGCAGCCTAGCAGCTGTCCCTGGCAGCATCACCCGGATGTGACCTTGTCGCGCCTCCTCCTCCCAGGCATCTTGAAAAATAAAGTCACCTACCCACCGCCGCTGATGCTGACAGAGCAGACGCTGAAGGGCTGGCTCCGGGAGAAGCTGGCCGACTGTGAGCAGAGCCCCACATCCTCGCGCACGTCCTCCCTGGGCTCTGGCGGCCCTGACTGCGCCATCACCGTCAAGAACCCCGGGAGGGAGCCGGGGCGTGAGCACCTCAACGGGATGGCCATGAACGTGCGCACCGGGAGCGTCCAGGCCGACGGCTCAGACTCCGAGTGAGTAGCCCGGGCCTCCAGAGCGGGGGTCACCCACTTCCCCCTTGTCCTGAGTCAGGAGAGAAAGGGGGCAGTGGTCAGGGACCTGGCACCCATCTCACCTGGAGCCCTGAGTGCAGAGGAAGCCCAGGCAGGGATGCGGGGTTGTAGGGGGGCGTGCTGCAGCTGAGGTCAGGGGGATCCCCCGGAGACGAGCAGACCCCCTATCCTGGGGGCACGTCTCAGGCCTCTGGGACTCTGAAGCCCTGGCCAGCCCCGAAATGCTAGGACCTAAAGTGCTGGGCTCTGCATTTGATCAGCACTGTCTCCGCTCTGGACCACTGCCACCCACCTTGCAACTAAGGATACTGAGGGTCCCGGAATGCCCGGGGTGAAGGGGGCGGGCTGGAGCTGGGGTCCTGGCCCCTCCTCCCTCCTTCCAAACTCTCAAGGGAGAAGCCAGGTCTTCAGGATGCCCCTCCCAAAAGTCACCGTAGAGATGGCCGGTTTCTAACGCGGATTCCTTGTGCTCTGCTGAGAGACCGGCAGCAGAGAAGCCCACAGGCTAGTCCTGGTCCCCTCTCCTGCCTCCCAAAGGCAGCAACATCCAACATGAGCTTACCCTCCCTGGAGCCCCCAGATGCCCCCTCTACCCTGATGGGGGGATCCTGCCCCTGTGTGACCTTGGGCCCCACCCAGCCACTACCCTCAATGACCCTTCACCTGCTTGATGGCTTCTTCCCACGCGCAGAGGCAGTAATGAAACTTCAATTTGAACCATCAGGAAACCGTGAGGCAAGCCCGTCACCCCCACACAGGCTTCGGCATCACTGAGCCCTCAGAGCTTGGAGCCCGAGGGGCCACTGCCCTTGAAGTGGAGTGGGCCCAGAGTGTGGCGGTCCCCATGGTGGCAGCCCCCGGACTGGTCATCCAGACACAAAAGTCTTGGCTCTCCCAGGAGCTCAGGGCCTGTCAGACCTGGTGACAAGTGCCAAAGGCCACAGGCATGAGGGAGGCGCAGACCACTGGGCCAGCACCGCTGGATCCTAAGACTGCAGCCAGAGCCAGATCTGAGAGGGGACCCCAGACAGGGCCCAGAGGCTGCCCAGAGTTCAGGGACGCCAGGCACAGACCAAAGACTGTGGTCCAGCCCCGCCCAGGTGGGCATCTCATGGCAGTGCAGACGCATGGCTGGAAGCCCGGCAGCCCTTTGCAAAGGCACCCCTTGTCTTAAAATCACTTCACTATGTGGGAAAGCTGTAGATACTTTTATATATTTGTATTGGACTCTGAGGAGGTGAAACCTGTATATATTTTGCATTCGTGCTGACTTTGTTATCCCAGGAGATCCATGCGATGATCCCTTGCTGTCTTCCGTGTAAAGAAGATTGCACAGTTGTACTTGAATCTGGCATGTGTTGACGAAACTGGTACCCCAGCAGATCAAAGGTGGAAAATATGTCAGCAGTGGGGCTAAAACCAAGCAGTTAGAAGCCCTATAGCTGCCTTTGGCCAGGAAGCGAGGATGGCATGGGCCCTCCCCGCCGGCCCCCTGGGTCCCTGGTGTTCCCTGTGCGTGCCTTTGCCCTCTGCCCTGGCTGTGTGAATTTAAGACGGGGCAGTGCAGGACTAGGCAGGTGTGAGGAGCCCTGCTGAGGTCGCTGTGGGGCATGGTTGCCACACGGCTGTCATTTTTCACCTGGTCATTCCCTGACCACCACCCCCTCCCAGGTGGCCTGGCAGCTGCAGGTGGGGATGGATTTGTCCTTTGCTCCTGCTTCCCGTGGGACCTGGGACCTTAAAATCTTGCAGGTTCCTGATTTGGACAGAGGGATGGGGCCCTCCAGGCCATTACATCCCTCCTGCCAGTTCTCTAGCTCTTTTGAGACTCCGAGGCTCTCCCGGGGGAGGGGTTCCCACCCCACCCCCGGCATCTGACCAGTTACTTCATTTTGCTTCAAATGGCCAATTGTGCAGAGGAACAAAGCCACAGCCTTCAACGGTTACCAAACTGTTTTTGGAAACTCACACCAAGGTCGGGCCCACTGCAGGCAGGCAGCTGGCACAGTGTGGCCCGAGGGGCTGTGGAACGGGCTGGAACTGTCAGACATGTTTGATTTTAGCATTTCCTTTGTTCTTCAAATCAGGCGCCCAAATAAGTGATCAGTACAGCTGCTTCCAAATAGGAGAAACCATAAAATAGGATGAACATCAAGTAACATGCAAAGATGTCCACACTAAGTTTTAAACCTGACCCTGATGAAAATGTGAGCACTGTTAGCAGATGCCTGTGAGAGGAAAAGCGTATCTGAAAATGGTCCAGACAGGAGGATGAAATGAGATCCCAAAGTCCTCACACCTGAATGAATTATACATGTGCCTTACCAGGTGAGTGGTCTTTCGAAGATACAAAACTCTAGTCCCTTTAAACGTTTGCCACTGGTGTTTCCTAAGTACGAAAAGGTCTTTAAGTCTTCGAACAGTCTGCTTTCATGACTTTTACCAGGATTCCACCCCCTGAGGTGTAATTTTTTGTTTTGTTCTATTTTTTTTTTTCCACATACTCCACAGCCATCATCATGACGTGTAATTTTTAATTTGGTCAGAACTGTTACCAAAAAACAACTGTCAGTTTTATTGAGACAGGAAAAATGTAAACTTATTTTTATTAAGACTTTATGGGAGAGATTAGACACTGGAGGTTTTTAACAGATGTGTATTTATTAATGTTCAAAACACTGGAATTACAAATGAGAAGAGTCTACAATAAATTAAGATTTTTGAATTTGTACTTCTGCGGTGCTGGTTTTTCTCCACAAACACCCCCGCCCCTCCCCGCGCCCAAGGTGGCCGTGGAAGGGATGGTTTACGGGTGTGCGGCTGAGCTGTCCACGTCCCATGCTCCCTCAGCCAGTGGAATGTTGTGCTGGAACTTTCCATTCCCTGGTAGGCCTGCCACAGCCTAGATGGGCAGTTTTTGTCTTTCACCAAATTTCAGGAATTTTTTGCCATTATTTCTTGTACTGATCTTTCTCCTCTCCTTCTGTGACTCCAGTGACTCGGATGTTAGACGTCCTGATGTTTTCCCACTGGTCCCCGAGGCTCTGTTCATCTTTCTTTGTTCTTTTCTGTCCTTCAGATTTGGTCATTTCTGGTGCTCCATCTTCAAATTCACTGATTTTTTTCCTGTCATCTTAATTCTGATACTGAACTCACCCAGTGAATTTATTTCAAATACTCTGCGTTTTAAAATTTCCATTAGGTTCCTTTTTATTTCTCTGCTGGGCACTTTGTTTTCCACTCATTCCAAGAGTTCACCTGTACTTCATGAAGCATGGTTGTAACTAGGGCTGCTGTGAATTCTGGGATAATCTGAACATTTGAGCATCTTGGGGCTGAAATCTCTTTTCTGTTTGCATTTTCCTGGTTCTGTGTGTGCTGAGTAACTGCAGGTTGAACCCTCACTCGTCATGTGGAATGTTAGCTTAGACTCTGGGTTGTTCACACCGTTGCTGTAAGTGTCATTTTATGTGTTTCAGCAGCAGGCAACCCGGCTTAGGTTCTGCCCACTGGTTCTCTCTTTCCACGAGCAGCAGGTCCACTCCCAGGTCAGCCCTCGGCCTTGGCTATGCTGTTTTGGGTCGTTGGCTGCACTCACAGGTGGGGTGGGGGCAGGGGTGTGTTTCAACTCACGTGGAGAATTTGGGGGTCCCCCTTCTCCAGCTCTCTCCTTGCTGGAACTTGCCTTGCATTTTCTCACTTACGGGGTCCTTTTCTTGTTTTCTGTCCAGAAAGATGGGTTTCTCCCAGCACTCTAGCCACCTGCACTGTCTCACGCTTCCACCCAACAGGGCCCACCTTAAGGAAAAGTAGTGACAACAAAGAGAGAAAAATGGGAACCCCAACCCTCTCTGGTCCACAGTGCCCCCATTTCCCAGGCCTCTCTGGAGTTGTTGTCCTGGTGCTGGCTGCACAGCACCGCAGATTAGGGCCACCCCGGGTCAAATCTGAGACAGAAAAAACAACCCATGAACGCCCCCGCGCCTGAGGTCATTTTTCAAGTTGCTTTCTCCTCCGTTTACCTGCTAATGTTTACATCCCAGAATGCTTGGTGGCTAACGTGATAGAATATTTCTACCTCAGCCCCAAAGCCACGATTAACAGGAAAATACTAGAAGCATCTGAGAGAGAGAAAGCAGTCCAGGCAGCCCAGAGCAGGCCTGTCAGCCAGGCCAGGATGTCCACGTGAGGACCACGAAGTGCTCTGTAGCGCCTCCGCAGCAGACCGCGATGGATGAGGGCAGAGCAAGCCCCTCTGTGATTATGTCTGAACAGATAACAGCACAAACACCGTCCAAGCCACGGGACGTCGACTCCCCCAGCCCAGGTAACGGGTGACTACAGCTGCTTCAGTCACAGCTTCAGCCTCGCCCTGGGCTCCCCAGCCTGGAGACGAAGCTTGTTAAGATCCCCTAGGAGAGTCAGGCAGTGGTTCATGTCTGTAATCCCAACACTGGCTGGCTGAGGCAGGAGTTCAAGACCAGACTGGGCAACACAGCAGGACCCCATCTCTACAGTTTTTAAAAATTAGCTGCTAAAAATTAGCACAGTGGCTCATGCCTGTAGTCCCAGTGCTTTGGGAGGCTGAGGCAAGATCACCTGAGGCCAGGAGTTCAAGACTAGCCTAGACAACATAGCAAGACTGTTTCTAAAACAAAATTAAAATTAGCCGGGTGTGGTGGTGTATGCCTGTTGTCCCAGCTACTTGGGAGGTCAGGGCAGGAGTGCTTGGGCCCAGGTCAAGGCTGCAGTGAGCTGTGATCACACGACTGTGCTCCAGACGGGGTAACAGAGCAAGACCTTGTCTCTTGAAAAGAAAACAACAGAAACATCCCCAAGAAGGGGCTTGGGCCCAGGCAAGGTTCCGGCACAGGACAACATGGGAGCCGGGGACTGGGGAGAAGGCAGGCTCAAGGTGTTTGAAACCAGCTCAGGGCCTCGGGCAGGAGCCTCCCAGGTGTGAGGTGAGGGGACACTGTCCTAGGACCTGTATGTCACAGATTATCCTGGAACAACATGGGGGAGAGGAGAGCGAGGACTTTGCTTTCATTTGTATTACAAGCAGGGAGCAGGTATACAAGCATCCAGCTCTTGGCCCAGAAGATGTTCCCCCACCATCTTCATGGACAGGTGTGGCAAGTGGCTACGGCCAGGCCACTGGGGCTACCTGCCTGCCTGCGCTCCTGGGGACCCCCAGGTCCTTAATAGGTCATCTGAGGGGCACAGCCTCTGGAGTGTGCCAGCCTTGGGTGCTGGGGAGGGTAGGAAAGAGGCCAGAAGAGCAGCCCGGAGACTTGGCCCCCTGGCCAGCAGTTTCTGCTGAATCTCTGAGGCATTGCACCAAAGCCTTCCAGAGTTGGCCAGTGGCCTTATGGGGGTGCAGGGCAGGCACCTGTGCATGCTGGAGAGGGGAGCACTGCCAGTCAGGAAGCAGTCGCCATGGAACCTGGGGGCCTAAGGGGCAGAGGCAGGTTTGTGCCCGCTTCCTCCACTGGCCGACACACAGGCCCTGAGGCTGGCAGGGCAGCAGAGCCCGCTAGAGACTGGAGAGGGCAGCCTTACCCCTGCTGGCCTGGTGCCCATACCACCTTCTGCTTGGCTGCCCCTCCTCCCTCCTGCTCATGTTTCTGTGACCTGGGAGGGTTCGCCTAGGGCAGAGCAGTAGGCCCCGCAGGGGCTCTCCCACCCTCAGTTCCCAGGATGGAGGCCCAGCCACAGCCATAAACCAGGGAAACCCTGAGCCCAGGGAGGTTCCGTGCCGGGCTGAGCCAGCAGAACAAAGGCGGCGCTTTTAGCTCAGCCTCCATGCCCAGCTGGGCCAAGGATCCCCAGGAGCCTGTCTGGTCCCACCAGCCAGCGTTCTGCCTGCCTGGTAGAGCTGGGGCCTGCCCCTGGCCAGGGCAGCACTGACCCCGCACCCCCTGCCTCCCCAGCCCAGCAAGGGCCGCTGCTCCACCTCAGGCCCCGTTTCCTCACCTGGCCTGTGGGGTTCTGGCCCACTCCTCACCCTCAGGACACTCTGCTGCGTGGGGGGCCTAGGCTAGAAAGAAGGGCGCCCCAGGTCAGGGGACACCCAGTGGGGAGATGGGAGGAGGGGTCAGGATGGACAGTGGGTTCCATGGCAGCCCCCACCCTGACGCACCAGCAAGAACTTGGGCATCTGGGCAAGGCCCTCAAGACGAACCACCTGGCTGCCTCTGGAACCTTCCCACCCAGAGAAGGAGAATGCATCTCTGGTCCCCGCAGGAACCTGTCTCGAGGCACCAGCAACACGCTAAGGCTCCAGCCCAGCAAGAGGAAGGGAGCCGAGGACACTGGTCAGTGTCTAGGACCAGGGACCCCAGCCCTAGATACAGGGGCAGAGGATGGAGCAGCTGGGACCTCAGGGAAAGGAGCGCAGGTTGCCATGGCAGCGTCTGCAGTCCACCTGCCTTTCCACACCACGGGGTCAGTGATGTGGAGCCCCCGGGCCCCAGCAGAGGCAGCGGTCAGACTCTGTGTCCTTGAAAGAATGTTTATTCCACACTGTCCCTGCAGCTCCCCCTGCAGGTCCCCTCTGTGTGCTCTGAGGTGGGAAACCCTCCCTGGGGGTGGTGAAGGGGAACTCGGGCCACCCCACCAGTCAGCAGATGCTCTGGCAGCCAGAGCCCCAGCCTGGAGGTGAGGCTCTTCCTGGGGCTCGCCGAGGCCCCTGCAGGCTTTTCGGACCCTTAACCAGCCCGGCTTCCTCTGCTTTGGGCAGCAGTAAGCTGGGCCCTTGGGGACCTGGACTGCTCACCAGCCACCCAGCCCTGGGCCTGCTCTCCAGGTTCCTTCTAGCAGCTCCGTCTCTGTCAGGGCAAGGGACGCAGGCCTGGGCCATCTTCTGGGCCATCACTGGGGTTCTCGATGGGCACCCCACCTCTGTGCTGGCCCTTCTGGAGTGTGTAGGCGGACGGCCCCAGCCGCAGGATCTTCCCGCTGCCCAGGCACTCATCCCCCTTGTAGAACACAGCAAACTGTAGGGAAGAGAGACCCTGGCATTAGGGGTGCCACAGGGAGCCAGCCCAGGGCAGGCAGGGGCAGAGTGGTCCCCTCTGGGCCTCGGCCCATGCTCGGAGTGCCAGGCGGTGGAGCTGCCAGGGGAGCAGGGGTTTGCTGCTGCTGCTGCTGCTGCTGAACAGGAGAGGAGGGCCCTGGGGCACCCAGCAGCTTCACCAGGGAGGGTCTTCAGGGTCAGGGTACCTCTCCCGAGTGGGACAGTCACAGGGGCCACTCCAGAGACTGGCAGGTCTCTGAAGCCCTTGGGAATGTGGAGCTGTGACAGGAGGTAGCATGGTGGCAGCCAGAGGATGCTTCTGCTCCCCTCACCCCAGGTTCTCTCCCGCCACCTGCCCCTGGAGAGCCCTCAGGCCTGCATACGCCAGGCGCCCATCCTCAGAGCTCCTACACACTCAGCCCACAGGGGCCCCAACCCTCTGCCTCTTTGAGCGCAGTCCTCATGCCCCTTCCATTTTCTGTCCTTGCTTCTAGGGCCCGGGCAGCAGCTGAGCCTCTCAGGGCCCGAGCAGGAACTGGCTGGTTGGTGACATCAGAGTGGAAATCCTCTCACAGTTGTCACTGCGGGAGGAGCCCCCAGGGCAGGTCTGGTCGCACTCTGCCGTCACCAGCTGTGTGACCCGAGCACACCCTACTTCTGGGCCTCAGGCCCTTCCTCTGTAACCCAGGTGCCCTGGGATGGTGAAGAGCAGTGCAGTCCTCCGGGAGCACAATGAGAGCTGGGCTCACCCCCCACACCCCCACTCACCTGTCCTGTGGTAAGGGCATGCACAGCCTGCACAGCTGTCACCCACACGGTGCCATCTTGATTGAGGGTCAGCACGCAGGGCACTGGGTAGAAGAGAGGGGCCCTTGGAGGGGGCACAGGCCTTGCCTGGTCGACCTCAGGCCTCGGGGCCCCAGGGAAAAAGGAGCACCAGCCTGGACTCTGGGCGCAGCAGGACACTGCGGGACAGTGTACACTCTTGCTTCAGCCCCACACACTGGGGCCTGCCTGCATCTGCTCCCAGCACCCCCAGGCCTCACTCAGGGCAGGCACAGAACACGGGAGTTCTGAATATTTTAGGTAATCACCAAATAATCTCCACAACGGGACTTTCCTACCCCAGGGTCTCCCATCCCTGGCCCAAATCTGGCCTCAGGAAGCTCAGCTTCAAGGGGCCCGTCCTCAGGAGTCCTCCCGTCAGTCACCTAGTGCCATCTGGTGGCGGAATCGGAAGTGGCACTCCATCATCTTGTCCCGGACCAGCGCTGCAGGCGGCTCCTCCGTGATCCAGTGCACGCGGCTGGTCCTCAGCAGGTCCCTGTACAGGGCTGGGTGGTCCCTCCGGGGAGCCTGCAGAGTGGAATGCGAAGGTGGGGACGCCGAGGGGTACCTCACCCCAAGGCCGGCCTCGGTGTGGTCCCTGGGAACAACAGTCCTACCAGCACACACAGGTAACGGTGCCGGCACCGCTCGCAGCGCTCCACCCACAGAAACTCATCACCGGCTGGGTCTTTGAATCCCCATTTCACAGATGAGAGACTAAGAGGCAGGGGTGAGATCCGAGCCCGTGACAGTGAATGCTGCAGGTTCAAGTCTGACTCAGGCTCTCCACCTGCAACCACCTGTGGGGCACTACCACGGCCACCTTCGAGGACTGGATTCTCTATTCACAGGGCCACAGTGGCCAGCCACACCACGGGCTTTTCTCTCAAGAAGGCCACCCCAGGAATCCCACCACCCCCCAAACAGCTGAGGAGGAAGGAGGGACTGGTAGGTACGGGCTTCCCGCAGCTGCCCTGGGACTGGCCCTGGTATGGAGGATCCCAGCCACCCTAGGTTGGTTCTGAGGCCCCTGCTCCCTGTCACCTCCTGGGATTGCACCAAGCCCTGCCCCTGAAGCAGATCAAGGAGCATGAAGTTAAGGACTTTGGGTTCTAGGCAGGCACTGAGACCTGTCTAGGGACAGGAGACCATTGGTAACCCTTCTGTTCTTCTCATAGCAAACTGAAATCTAGATCATTTAATTCACTGGCAGCCAGGCTTTTCACCCCACAGTCTTCCTAGAAGGAGATGTCTTGGAATCGGCGGGTTGGGCCTACTGGCCCCCGCCTGCGTCTAAGAGAAGGCGCCCCAGCGTTCGTGTCAGAACACGCGCCGGCAGCCAGGGCGCTGAGAGTGGGCCTTCTCAGCTCTGCGCGCCAAGGTGGAGGCTGGGCCATTCAGGGAAGAGGCTGTGCTGAACACGGCCAGCAGCGTCCCTGGCCTGACCCACAGATGCAGCAGCACCCGTGCCCCTGCCTTTCCACCCAAGTCGTGACAACCAAAAATGCCTCCAGACACTGGCAAGGTCCCCTGCAGGTGAGGTGAGCCTGCCCCTGCTGAGCGGCCCCGCTTTGAGGCCAGGTTCACAGTGGTAAGGGGCGTGCTGTGGTGGAAGGCTCAGTTTGATCCTGGCTTGGCCATCTGCACCTGGCTCACGACAACTCACTGGATCCTACCACGGCGGGCACTGTCCTTGGCACTGAGGCCATGCCCTCTCCACCGGATGAGCCACCCAAGCTCCGGGTCTCGCTGTCCTCTTTTGTCAAATTGGATAAACTTTGTGTACAGGGGTTCACTGATGATTAAGAGGCCAGCACACAACAGGGCCTAATGAATACCTTAAAACCCTCCTGCCACCAGGGCCAGTCCCAGGAGGATGCAGCAGGAAGGCAGGGGACCAAGGACAGGAACAGTTAGTCACAGGCTCCATGAAGCCACGGCTGCTGGAGGCCTTCCCAAGTCCTGGTCCGTAAGCACTGCTGGCCCTGCCAGAACCAGCCCCAGTGCTGTCTCAAGGGCCGGCCCACTCACCACAAACACATTGCCCTTGACGCCGTCCTTCTCTACCACATACCAGGGCTCTCTCAGGCCACCGATGTTCGCTCTCTGGCCCAAGGTATACAGGAACCAACCTACAGAAAGACAGTTTCTCCATGAGGCTGGGCAACAAGTTCCATCCCACATGTCACGCCTCTCATCATGAAGGCAGATGCTGGGAGGGCAGCCCAGAGCAAGCCCAGCTCACTAGGAAGCTATGATTCTCCAGCCACCAAGGCCAGCCCTGACCAAGCACCTGGGCACATCTCTCATCACTGTCCAGGCCTGGGCTGGACACAGGAACCAGTGGCCACCGAGCAGGTACTTTGTACCCTAGAAGGTGCAGGTTCCAGCTGTAGG